TTTTTTTTTTTTTTTTTTTTTTTGCCGTTAAGACTGAGGGGGAAAAAAAAGAACTAAAATAAAATAAAATAAAAAAAGACTGAGGGGGGCAGGGATTTAGCTCAGTGGTGCCACGGCTGCCTCACAGGTGCAACGTCCTGAGTTCGATCCCCAGCACCAAAAAGAAAAAAAAAAATCTGAAAGGCTAGCTCCTCGGAATAAACCAAAAGTTAGCAAGGCTTTAGACCAGGGGTCAGCAAACGTTTTCTGTAAAGGATCAGATAGTAAATATACTTTGTAGAACAATAGGCAAAACTGTAGCTATTCAATAGGTTCTTATATAACAAGAACAAAAGTAAATTTTCTTAAATATTTGGTTGATGAAAAATTTAAAATAATATTTAAATATAATTTTAGTAGAGCTCCACCAACGAGAAGAATGGGATTCTGTATTGTGGCCAGCGTTTCATTCAGCTGGAGTTCAGAGTAGGTGCTCACCATCAGCAAACTGATTATAGACACACATATCCAAGAGACATTCTTAGCTCACGTTAGGCAAGATTCAGTGGACCATGATTTGCAGATTCATGATCAATTTAATGTAAATATTAAATTGTAGTACATGGTTAGATTGTAAAAATACAGAGAAGCAAGAAAGTAATTTCCACAGACGTCAGGACAGTGGTTACTTTTAGCAGGGAAAGAAAGAGGTTCTGACCAGGACCGCATCAGGGTGCTTCTAGTGTGTAAGAAATTTTTTTTTTGGTGTGGTTTTTTTGAGACAGGGTCTCGCGATGCAGCCAGGCTGGCCTTGAACTCACTATGGACCCCAGGCTGGCCTCGAACTCACAACAATCCCCCTGCTTCAGCCTCCTGAGGCTTGGGATTCTAGACGTGTGCTACCGCATCCAGCTTGTTTCTTTCTTTTAAAAATTTTCAGTATCGCGCATTGAATCCAGAGCCTCACATATGCTAGGCAGACTATCACGGAGCTACACCCCCAGGCCCCAGTTTTTGATTTCTTGATCTGTGTCGGTGTATGGAATGCTGCTTTTATATCAATTTATTAAGTAGCACATTTATGGTGTATGATTTTTTGAACATGTGCCGTATTTCACAATAATTAAAATTATTAAGAAATCTTGACTCTCCCATATAGCTATACTATCTTTAGTAAGCTGTTGTTGAAACCTCAGTTTCCACTTCTAAAATATGTGGTCATACTTATATTATTAGTTTATTGTGGGAGTTAGCTGAGACCATAACCGCAGCTTGTTCTGTACCAAAAATTTAGCTGTGGGCTACTTAGGACAATCACACCCAATTCCTACGCCAACTTAGTAGATTTGAGAGCAATATTGTTTTTCTATAGGCCTGGATATGCATGAAGCAAACAGTTCGGCACCTGGCGCGAATACACAACAAAGGGGAGCTACTATTATTAGTTCACATATTGGGCTAATCAAAATAATTTGGACCAACCCCCCGCCCCCTCCAGCTTTCTAAAACACAGTTGCACAGTAACTGTGTTTCCCTGAAAATGAGACCTAATGGAAAGGTAAGTGTTGGTCGTTGCCATGGTGACGGCCAGCGCCAGGCAGATCGGACCTCGCTATTCTACACAGTGGCCACTGTGTAATGGCAGCAGAGGACAGGTGACTGGGGCTGGCATTTTTGATCTCTGGTTTTCAGAGCTGGTTATGTTCAGGTTAGGTTTCATTTGGGGGGAAACAGGGAAGGTCCTGGATTCTTATTTTTGCACTAGAGGGGCCATCATTTTTATCCCTCATGCATACCTAACTGCTGTTCAGTAAACGTTTATAAAATGACTAGAAATGGGCAAGGGTTTCAGAAAACAGAAACTGGATTTGTCTTCCTCCTTGAAGGCCAGATTATGTAATCTTGACAATAATGTATGTTTAGCATTTACCCAAAATTTAAGCTAACCCTAATTTGAAGAATGAATGCTTCACATAAGGAACTAAAATGGCTTAGGCAGAGGAGTGAAAGAATAAATGCTTTCCTTTTGTACTGGTAGTTTCTTGTTGCTGTTTTGCTTTGTTCTTTTTTATTTGTTTTTGATTTTGGTGCTGGGGATTCAGCTCAGGGCATCATGCTAAGCAGGTGCTCTACCACTGAGGTACACTCCAGCCCTGTAGCACATTTTAAAAGACCAATAAATCCGGCGTGGTGGCATACACCTGTAATCTCAGCACTCTGGGAGGTTGAGGGAAGTTCTCAAGTTTGAGCCCTGCCTGGGAACTTAGTGACTTAATGAGACCCTATTTCTAAATAAAAAATTATAAACGGCTGGGATGTAGTTCAGTGTGAAGGCCGATTTAGTCCCCAGTACTAATAAATAAATATCATCAATAGGGCTAGGGATTTAGCTCAGTGCTTTCGCCGCCTGCTGCACAAGCGCAAGGACCCCAGTTCGATCCCAGGTACCAAAAAAACCCCTATCAATAAGAAAACACTACATGGCTACACTGAAACCTAGTATTTTGTAAAATTAATATGCACTAGGGCCGGGGATTTAGCTCAGTGGTTCCACTGCCTGCCTCGAAAAGTGCAAGGTCCTGAGTTTGATTCCCAGTGTCAAAAAAAAAAAAATGAATATGCACTAATAAACATACACATTGGAAAATACTACCAGTACATGGACTTAATATTAGATTTTCAGATAGCAAAAAAACCAGCTAACACATTTAATATATGTATGAATACAATATGTGTCCCAGAAATAATAAATTCAAAAAATGTATTACAAGTTACTACAGAGGGCTAGATATAGTGGCAGACACTCACAATCTAGCATTTTAGATCCTCCTGTCTCAGCCCCTCAGTGCTGGAATGACAGGAGCGTGCCATTGTGCCCTGCCTTGTTCTCTATTTTAATAAATTACTTGAGCTAGGTGTGGATGTGCAGGCCTATAATCCCAGCACTAGGAGGCTGAAGCAGGAGGATGGAAATGAGTTTGAGGCCAGTCTGGGCTACCCAGTGAGTTCAAAAACAGCCTGAATTACAGAGCAAGACCCTGCCTCAAAAAACAAAAAAGGAGTCCCCTCTGGGTTCACATATGGAGTCAGGGCCAGGTCGCCATCACCTAGTTCCCCAACCCTGGCTATGGCTGAAGAGCTCTCAGTGGCCACTTCCTACACTGAAGACAATTTCTACTGTCTTGTCTCATCAGAAGGTGCTCAAAATGCCCGTGGGGACTGCAGCCTGTCAGCATGTGATGCTCTGTTACAGCTTGTATCTAGATATCCCCCTAAAGCCCTATGTGGTCACAGGTGGGGTTTCTCAGACACAGCTGGATCTAGAGTCTGTGATGCTGGGATAAAGCATGTGTGATTACTAAATCATTTCACTGATTGGTTTGGCATAGATTTCGGAGAGGATAATGGGAAGGCCCTCCCTGGATGTGAGTGTTACCCAACCTAAGGGCAGGTAGCCTGCATAAAATGTAAGGGACAGAAAGAGGGTCGTTGGTTGTCACTTGCTGCCTTCTGCCTGCCATGAACTATTTCTCCTTTGTGATGCCCCTGTCATGACACTGTGCTTTGGAGCCAGCTACCTGTGAACTGAAACCTCTACAAACTGTGAACTAAGTAAACCTTTCCTCCTTTAACTTTGAGTGTCAGGTATTTTTGTCTCAGCAAAGAGAAAAAGTAATGAAGACAGAATTTGGTACCAGAAGTGGGGTTGTTGCTGTGTCATTACCTGGCCATGTAGTTTGGGAACCTTTGGAACTGGCTTGTGAGAGGAGTTTGGAAAGGTTTGGAGATGCTGGCTGAAAAAGCAGCCCTGGAATGCCTTAGAGTGTACTTGATGACAAATTCTGATCAGAGCTCAGAAGACCAGAATGTTGATAGAAATACAGCCAGTAAAGACCAGTCTCAGGAGTTTTTTTCAATTCTTTTTTTTTTTTTTCCAGTACCAGGGATGAAACTCAGGACCTTGTTTTTGCCAGGCAAGTAAAGCACCACTGAGCTACATCCCCAGCCCTGGCTCAGGAGGTTTCTCCTGGGAAGGACTGCATTGCCCGTTGGACTGCAGATGATGTGTGTTATGTCTTGGCAGAAAGTTTGCCTGCGTTC